ATTCGCGTCGATGGGGTGGGAGGTTGTAGTTCAAATCCAGGTGGGCGACCACGGCCGCAAGCTCCGTCGACGACAAAGGTGTTCTCGCGCCACTGGAGCCAAGTAAGGATGAGCGCGAGGCACGAACAACCGACTGCGCAACACGGCTAGCTTCTTGAAGAGCATCGAGTTGAAGAGTACCAGCCTCGCCATCAGAAGGAGCCCCCGACGAAGAGGCATCAGGAGGCACCTGTGGTCGTTCATCTTGCTGAAGGGCATTCCGCGGCGCAGCTGCCGCAGTAGACACCGCCGACTGCGGAGCAACAGGATCTTGACCGCGTAAGGCGCCACCTAAGGATCCATTGGGATAGATCACTCCGAACCCATGTCTGGCCATCAGCTCGTCGAATGCACCATCCGAAGAGCTCGATGAACGTGAGCGGCGGTCCGCAGCGTCAGAAACAGGGACGTCGCCAGGAGCATCCGCTGGGGGGGAGACCGCTGTGCCATCAGAGGACGCCGCAGACAAGTTGGACGCATTGCCAGCTGTGTCCAGTCGAGAGCTTCGGGAGGCACTTTGTAATTGAGCCCCAAATTCGGTGTCGGGGAGGACGGGGCCGAAGTGGCGCCTGCACTCGTCCGCCGACATCTGCTCATCATCGAGGTGCGCAGGCACGGGGCCATCGCCACCAGGTGCCGCCGTAGGCACCCCAGCGTCCTCCTCCATCATGGTTAAGTTAATTCCAGTGCCGCCAGAGTGGGAAAGCCGTCTTCCCCAATACTCATATCGTCTTCATCAGGAGCTGGCTCCTCGATCGTGCCGTGTGCAGACAGAAGCAGGTGAGGCACGATGTGGTGGTAAGTGAAGATGTGGGAGAAGAGCAGGTACGCAATCTGAGGTGCAAGGGCTCTGCTTCGCCAAGTAATCTGCGCGGGCAGTAGCAGGCATGCGAGACAGATCAGGACGCCAGGCCATTTGCCGAAGGAGGCGAAGTCCACAACGACGAACCTGAAGCAAACGAAGATCATCACGGACGGTCCATGCCTCACAATGCCGACTTCGAAACCTTTCTCGGGGGCCAGCTCCCAAGTACCATCCATGAAGACAAACCTCCGAGGCCACCAGACGACGAGCGCCACTCAAGCCAGGCCTACCATGAACAAGCTGAAGAAAAGCACCAAAATCCTCGTAGCGTAGCACTCCATCAAGGTATGGGAGGCACCATGACATCCACTGGTCAAGGTCGCTGCCAGGAGTAGAGAGCGCGAGGGACGGAACCCACGCTTGGGACCAACGACCCACCGTGCTCACCAATGCTTGGTACGGTTCATGTCGGCGAAGTGCTCCAGTTAAGCCTGACGGAGGGGCCGACTGGGACGAGCTGGAGGCACTGTGCATCGCCAAGGTATCGCAGATGTGGTTGTCGTTGGAGGGCTCTGAGTCCACGACGATCACGTTGTTGCGGATCCCTGTGTTGCCCGCAGGGTAAGACGAAGGAGATGAAGGTGCCGAAGGCGTAGAGTGAGAGCCACAGGCGAGGCTCGCCACGCAAGCATGAACATGGAGGAGCCCCATAGCCCGCATGTTGTCGACAGCGGTGAGGGGCGAGTCGTACGTGCTGGCCACAAGAGTCTCTTGAGCCAGAGCTGTCGATGCATAGGGTCCGTTGAGGGGCGTGCTATCCGTGTCAGACAGCGATGGCCCCAACGCAAAAGCGGCAGCAACAATGTTGACATCGGTAGTCGCTGAAAGAGATGGAGACGAAGGCGGTGGTGACGTCGAAGAAGATGGGCCCGAGGAGGAAGATGATGTGGATGACACCGAGGACACCGAGGATGATGGCTGCAAGTGTTCTGCTGTAGCCAACGACACCATCGGCGCACGGGCATTCGAAGAGGCTCCCAGCTTCGCGGTGCGCACCGCCGCCTTTACAAAGGAGCGCGCAGCCGAGGGAGACCATATGTGCGAGCTAGTGCCATGAGCCGCTGCGGCGTAAGTGTAGCACATCACGACAGCATCAAACACAACGCGGCCAAGTAGAACAGCACTGCCGAGAAGGCCCAGCCGTCCCAGAGCGGAGGCAGGCCGCGAGCAGCCAAGCTCCTGCTCCACCAGCCGCCTGAAAGGAACACATTCAAGATAATGCTTCAAGGCGCCAGGTTGGTCAACACATCCGAAGCGACAGCAGAGCCTCCCATGCGGTTGCAGGATGCGGTGCGAGGTCAACCATCCGTTGGCAACTGTCTTGAGGTAAGCAAACGCCCAGGGCATGGAGCAGCCGCGAAGGTACTTCATGATGTATGTCCAACGATTTGACGGGATAAGCGAGCGACCCCCATCGACCACATGAGGGAAGGTGCGCACCGGCCTGCCCACAAAGCAGTCCCAAAGAGGGTGCGGAACCAGTAGTTTGCGAAGCATCGCAGTGATGTGCCTTTGAAGACCCGCTGCCCTCTCTCAGCCAGTCTGAGGCGGCGGCAGTCGCTGTAGTAAGACGTTGCGAAGTGTACGCTGGAAAGGCCCTGCTCGAAGATGCCTCCACAGCCCGCTGCAAAATT